TCAAAATCTTTCATGCATCATATACAACATTTCCTTTTTCAATTGCACTTGGAACATCAAAGCAGAAGCTCCTGAAGATATCCAGATCTTTTCTTCATACAGGCAAGTGTCTTGAGCAAAATAAGTACGAAGGCATATTTTGTACCCAAGTGTTTGTTTTACAAAACTCATATTTTCCTACTCACAGGCATGTAGGAAAATTGTTTGAATGCCAGCAATATATTAAAAATGCAAGAAAGAAAAATATTGGATGCCATATGAAGGAAATATATTTTCAACCATCAAGGAAAATCGATTTAAACATAACAGCAAGAGATTTCAGAAATAATTCGAGAGAACTGTCTTATTACAAAACTTTTACACCTCAGACAATAGGTAAGTATTGTCTATTATCACTTATGGAAAATTCATTTATTGATTATTTCATGGAAAGCATAAAAAGAAAATAGGGCAGTGTGACAAAGTCAGAGTATTAATTCTAACTATTTAGACATTCATCTACATGGGAATTTTACATAAAGATGAAACAAAATTGATTATGGTTCAAAGTTTGAGGGTTTTTTCTCTGATGTAATAACATCATTTACCTCTAATTGTCATTTAAAAATAAAAGATAAGCCAGTATGAGAAAATTATATTTAACAGCATTATGTCCTTCTTTTCACTAATTCTTATCTTTCTTATCCTTTTCCTTATTTTTATAGCACTGAGAAAGCATGACTAAAAAAGAAAGAGCATAAGTAGTCTGCCACAAGTCTCATTTATAACCTGAATTTAAGAATATGAATGTTCTCAAACATTAGTAGCACTTTTATTTATTTTTTAAGCTAAAAATATCTTGGCAGTTATTTTTAATTATTGACAGTTTTGAATGATCATATAAAATTATTTTTCCTTACTTCTCTAGGAAGTTTGAATTAATCTCATGGGTAAAAATTCACTTGAATTTTAGCAGAGACTGCAGATTCAAATGCTTTTTAAGTTATTAACATTCCAGACCTGCAACATGGGAATCCATCATAATTCAAGGGATAGAAAAAATATAATTCAAAACTATCAAAATGTATTCTGAGATAGATCTTATTTATTCTATTCTAAGACATTGGAATTATTTGCTCTACCTAGAGCTTTACACTGCAATCAGAGCTAGCATAAGCAGCATACTCTGTTTTAGGAAAATAAACCATTTTCAGGAAATTCAGATTTTCCTGAAAAGACAAAAAAAGTGTGTGTGTGGGGGGAAGTGAGAGGGGGAAGTAATCCACAGGAAGGCTGTATTAGGTGTTTTCATAGTAGACTGGGAAGATGCTTATTTCTAGACTGTTTCCCCAGGGACCACAGGACTAAGGTGGGCAGGAATGAGCAGCAGGATAAATAGGAGAGATCAGGCTATCTGTTCCCTGCTTCTCTCTCCATCCACTCAGTCTCCTTCCCCCTGCTCAGGGCAGCCACCACCCCCTCTTTGAGGAGGCCAGGCTGGCAGTGTTTCCTTCCTACCCTTCTCCCCTTCCCATCTTACCAAACTTTAGCCATCATGAGGGCTGCACGTCAGTCACAGCTGGTTCAGCCAACAGCTTCTGCTCACTTCTCAGCTCCAGGCAGAAGCCCTGTTAGCTCTCCTTGCCTCTGATCCCACTGCCAAGCTTTGGTAGGGCACAGCAAAATCTGAGTGTGCTTGCAGGGGATGTTTTTCACTGTATAAGTAGCAGACTTTTGCAAGGCTCCACTGCAAGTCAGGGCTGTCCCTTCCCTTCAGGAAAGAGTGTATCCTTCAGGTCACACACATGAGGAAGGGACATTTGTATCTGGGTTCCCCTTCTTTAGCAGTACCTGTTACACTGGGACAAGGGGTAATGGTTTTAATCTGAAGGAGGATTGATTTAATGAGATATAAGAAAGATGTTTTTTACATACGGTAAAATATTGGAACAGGTTGCCCAGAGAGGTGACAGATGCCCCATCCCTGGAAAAATTCAAGGTTAGGTTGGATGGAGCTCTGAGCAACCTGATGTAGTTGCAGATGTCTTCACTCAGTGCAGGGGAGTGGACTAGATGGTCTTTAAAGACCTCTCCCAACTCAAACTCTCCTGGGATTCTTCAACAGGAAAGCCTCCATCTGGCCTTAACCCTAGCCCTTGCACAGTCCTGGAGGCCCACTGTCCTGCTGCTAGTTACCAGCCCCCACAATTCAAGCTTCTTTCCAGTAGTATGACATATAGTCTAACAAAACAGGACCCACATATGCCCTGTACTGCAGCTAGCACCAAAATAACTGAGTCCTGTCTGTCAGTGTGTGTGTGGGCTAAAGAAATTTCCAGATAACATCTGAAAAAGGATGAAAAAATTTTTTTCCTACTCTTGGTATTCTCACAGAAGGGGGAGATGGTCTGGGAATAGTACTTCAGAGATGAACAAACAAAAAAACCCCTGCTGCTTACTGTCTTCACCTTTCATGGCTCATGGTCCCCTGGATGATGAGCTCCTATCCTCAAGGCTGCTAGAGCAAGCACAGCAGCTGTATGGACCAGTCGTGCTGCCACTCACCCTTTCTACCTCTCTCTGTTTTTTTCTCTATGGCATCACATGGCAGCCTTGTCTGCCCCAAACCTCACTGACCCTGTCTACAGACACCTGCTATGCACTTCTGCCTCTGCTGGGAGGGCTTTTTCAGAAAACTCCAGCTTCAGTTCTTCCCTGCGCAGCAAATACAGCAGCAGCTGCAGAGGACTGAGGATGCTTGGGTACTCCAGCACACACTGAGGATCAGTGCCCTAGCACATGCCCTGCTAAAAAAACAACTGTAGACTTGCTTACCTAAATCCGAGGCTAAAATCCTGGGGACCCAAATGTCCCTTGCTTCCAACCCTGTACTTCCTCCATAGCAAGTACTTGCCTGCTCATTTACAGGAGAGAGAGAGAGAGAGAGAGAGATATTTCTTAAGCATCAGTAGAAAACTTCATTTGTTGAATCAGACAGGCTGTCTGGGCAAGAGATTGTCCAGAGAAGTTGTGGATGCCCTATCCTTGGAAGTCTTCAGGGCCAGCGTGGATGCGGCTTTGAGCAATCTGGTCTAGTGGAAGGTGGTGCTGCCCATGGCAGAGGGGCTGGAAGTAGATGATCTTTAAGGTTTTTTCCAAGCAAAACCATTCCATGATTTTATGACACCTGCCAAGTGCTAGTGCCCCTTCAGTAATCCCTCTGTGAGAGATGAAATTCCATTTTTTTCAAAGTAATACTACCAGGCTTGTGGGTACATTTGGGATATCCCACAAGACACGTATCCTACATGGCGTGGAGCCTGTAGCAGACTGGAGATCTCTTCAACACCAGCACAGACTCTGGAGAGGCCCTGCTCCTCCTGCCCACCCTTGCTACCTTCCCTGAAAAAACGCAGCTCCCTGTGTCACTCACTGAATGTCTCCTCTGGGTGTGGCAAACCCCAAAATACTTAGCTGTGTATTTTACACAGGAGTAACATACTGCATTTGTTTTCCATCAGCATAAATATGTGAAAGAGCATGAGGCACAGAAGGTCTCTTTGTGCTCTATTTTTCAGAGAAGCTGAACCCACCAAACAACGTCTCAGTTTCCCTTGAAAACAGAAGTATTAAAATTCACTGGAAACCGCCACCCACTATTGGTTCTGCAAATAACAAGTGCTTTTTGTATCAAGTGAAAATAACAGATCTTAAGGTAGTAAGTTTTTTGGTAATACACTTAGTATGTATAACATAACTTCCATAAAAACTGGGCATCCCTTGAATTTAACAGGGATTAATGTCAAACAAACTTTAAAGATATCCCAAGGTCTTTAATAATTAATCCAAATTGTCTTTCTGGTAAAAAAAGGAAAAACAACACATTTTATAAAATCTTTCAGAATCAAGCTTGCATTGAAGTGGACTGGATGATTTTTTCTTCTCATCTAGAATTTGACTTCCACATTACTATCACATAGATTGTACTGACTTTTTTGTTATAGAAAAAGGAGTATTGATAAAAAGAAAGGTTTAGCAGTTACTTTGGTCATATTTTTAAAGAAAAAAACCCTCACAGGTTATTTTTGTTATTTCTAAGTACATCACCAAAAGGATTATTCCTCTTTTTTGGATACATTGCATGTATTTAAAAATCTTTCATGATATTGTAACAGCATCTCTTAATCTAGCAGTAAGAAATAGAGCAGTGTTGTAGTTTAAGTAATGCCATATGGTGACTAAATGACCCAATGACATTTTGAAATTACCTGGAAATGAAAGCAGAAAAGTTTTCATGCATATTTTTATTTGAACTCCCAAAGATTAGAAAGTAAAGCACTTAATGCAGAATATCGTTAAGTATGAAATTCAGATATGTATTGGAATGTGAATTTTCTGAATATTTGATGATTTTATTCAAGCTGTCATTGAAGCTGGTTTTGTTTAAGAACCTAAATTTCATCTAACACACACCTCAGTCAGTGCACAGTACTGTAACAATAAAAGCCTTATCTAAGCTGGTGGCAAACATTTAAAAGGCAATTACACCCTGAAAGAATCCATGACTAAATCGATGTGTATCCACTTTTTGCTTGACAAAGTAGAAAGGAGAAGTGCAATGAGTAGACATTAATGATCACATAAAGTTATAGTCATACATTATAGTAGGGTTTATTAATTCAGATACAGTGCTGATACTGCTAATCAGCTTCCAGAACAGGGCTGGAAGCATCCAGAAAAAGAGCTTGGGTCTGGCATGGATATGCCAAATCTTCCCAGTCCCCTTCAGGGTTTTCCAGCAGACAGATAGCTGTCCACCTCTGCAAATAATTATAATTCCCTAAACCATTCCCAAGCCTAATACTTCAAAACCCCTGGCAGAGACTTCCAGGGGCTTGTCCCTGTCTACTCACAAAGCTCCTAACTGTGAAAGTCAAAGAGCAGAGGGAGTGAGGGTGGTTCATGCTGGATCCTTGGTATTCTGTTCAGCAGTATGCTGGAGATGTTCTGACTCCCTGCCCATGCACACTGATTTACTTCCTGTTTCCAGACTCAGAGCAAAGGAGGTGGAAGCAGAGAGGGGTGGGAGTAAGGGGTCTCCTTCCACTGCAGGGCTGGGATGTGCCCAAGGTGAGCAGGGGGATCCTGCAATCCGCAGTGTTCACATGGCCACCGCAGCCCCTCTTTCCAGCTTCCTAACACCTCCCACTCTCTGGAAGGAAATCTCACATACAAAAAATAGTCCAGCAGCCTTACTTAGATGGAATATACTGCTTTTATTTTCCTTTTCTCTCTCTTACTCCTCTCCTTTGCTCACATCTGAAGGATATAAATATAGGAGAGGAAAGCGAAGAAAAATCATTGAGGCACGGAAGTGAATAATCACCTACAGAAGTGGAAAATCACAGGGGCACATCAGACAGAAGAGAGGCAGCCACAGCAATAACAAAAAAAGACATACAAGGGCACCAACCAAGTGAGAGGGGCTTTAAGGTAGATAATCAGGACAATCAGTTAGTAATGATTAAAATGGTAATTACCTAGCCAAGGAGTACAAAATGCCTAGGGCTGGGGTTACAAAGTTAAAGAAGAAAACTGGTGTAGTATTACAGGAGACACAGGAGGGAGAAGAATGGAGTAAGCTTTATATTCTGTATCCTGACCAAACCAAGGTCTTAATCACTGCCACTTAATGTGTTAATGCCACTTAATCACAGAGACTTAATGTGTTGAGGTATTAGGGAATCTGTAAGCAGGCTTGTAGATATTTGTTGAAGAACACGTAAGAGCATAATGATTAAAATATACAAGTCTATATTCATTTATTCTGAATACCTGAAGACGTGACTTACTGAATACTTACAAGCACAAATAATAATACTGTGATGCGGATTGGAGTTAAGTTTGCAGGTGTCTGGAAACTAGGAAGGCTTGGTAAGTATCATGGGAAACAAGATTAGAATCTGCAATGTTGGGTAAATCTGAAATTAACAAGCCAAAATTCAGTAATAAGGAAAATTCTGTGATTAGGAAGTACAGGTCAAACGTGTCAATACAAAATAAGGAATTAAAATATAGACAGCAATGCAGAAGACAAAGCGGTCTGTGGATTGCAGAGAACCACAAACTGAGTCAATCATTCCATGTTCTTAGGCAAAGGTCAAATACTATTCAAGTATATATGACCTGCATGTCACATGTAAGATGTAGGTTGTGACTAATTTGCCCTTCCAGCTACTGAGTTTCACCTTAAGTTTCGTCTTGTGCTTTGGACACCACAAAAAATAAATAAGCAGCAGATCTGGGAAAGTCTTAAAGAGAAGAGAAAGAAGTGGCATGGTACACTGGGTAAAATCCACACCACACCAGTCAGTATGAGGAGAACAGGAGATCATGCTCTCCTAACAACAAAGAAGCAAAGTTTCTGTGTCTCCCTGTGTCTGAGACTCTTATTTTCTCCTTTGCAACTTTCTAACATCACTTTTAATTTTTATAAGCAAAAGTTTCCTCTCCTGCTTTCTGTTTTTATTCCTTCTTAAATTCTTAGCATTGTTTATTTACAGAAGTTTACTTCAGTTTTCAAAAGTGATGGATAATTTAGAGATCACTCTGCTTTAAACTCTGCCACTCCATGTTTGGACTTGATCTTTTGAAGTAGTGTTCTTTCTTTTATAGGCACAATTAAGGAGGTTTCAGGATAGTTACAAAAATAGTGAGCATCCTTCAGCTGAAAAATGCAAGATTTTATTCTACCATAGAAGAAAGTATAGCACACTACCTACATAAAAATCTTAAAACTTGCAGTTTCATAGTTATTGTGTTTGTTCTACACGTGATGTTATAAAAATTAAAAGGGAATCAGTGTTTTCAAATTCTTACTGTCCTACTATAAATGATACCTACTTCTATCTTATCAGTTCCAGTCTCTCTTCATTTTCAGTTCTAAGACATCAGACAAGAGTGAGATTTGTCTGGACACAAGAACTTGTTTTGAAAATCTCTTCCTACTAGTTAGAAATGCAAATAATAGTATTTGACATCTCTAGATTTATATCTGTATGAACTGCAATGCGAAATCATCCAAAATAACCTCCTAAACCTATCTTGGTAGATTGTAAATGTCACTGAAGAGAACTATAAGTATCCATTTCATAAGCCAGCAAACAAATGTGCAGCACAAGTGAGGGCAAAGAAAGAGATATGCATAAGAAACAAGATCTGGAGTGAATGGAGTGAGCCAGTGGTTATTCATGGTGGTAAGTTATCATGTACTTACTATTCATAACCCTTACCATGAGCTATATTATTACCATTTGACATATTTACCTCATTACTGCCTTTATTCTTCTTCAGGTTGTGTTATTGGGCCTTAACAGTACCTAGGGGTCCGTGGCGTGCACCAGGCTCACACAGCTCTGCTGTAGGGAAGGAGAGTCTTTAGTCTGAGTTCTACTTCCCTGGTCCTGAGGCAGTTTAGCACAGGGCTGTTCTCCTGAGTTAAACTACACCTGACTCTTGACAGCCCATAGAAAAAATTACGGTCAACAGCTGACAAGGTCCCAACACCCTCAGGACTGCCCTGCAAAGGACAGCCCAAGCATCTCTAAAAATGCTTTCAGCTGTTGAAACCAAGAAATCCACGAAAGTCGTAACATTCATCAAATCACATAGTCTTTAAGGACTAAGTAAGATTTCTTTTATTACATTGGGGGAATAATTTCTTATCTGACAGAGGTAGGAATATTTAAATACATGTTCTCTGGCCTCTTCAGCTCACAAGTAAACAAGAGCCTTGTAATACTTTTCCTTCACCTCCTATGACTAGATTTTAACATTGGTGTACTTGTGCTTTCCATGATGAGAAAAATGCTTCCACAAGCAGAAGTTTCCTGATGTCAGTTTAGGTAAAGGGGAAGTAGCATAATTGTGTGATGCTATATTTATAGAGAGAAAGTTGTGTCTGTGTATTAACACAGACAATTGTCTTCCTTTAATGCAATAGCTGTGTATTTGGAATATGTCTTTTTGACCTATTGAATTTCAAGTACATATTTACCTGAAGACAGGAAATGCAAAGCTAGATATTATTATATTTGCAATGGATTGAATGTAAATTCAGTTATGGGGTTTACTGGATGTTGGCTACCTAGTCTATCAGATGCCCTGCTATATCCCATTGATCTGCTGAAACCTTCGTTGGCTGGAATCATTAATTTCATTTCAAAAGCATTTCACTTGTGAAATAGCAGGAGAGAGAAACCTAATTGTTCTTCGTGTTCACTGTGGTTAAGAAGACAAGGACATTAGCGTCTTCAGTTGCCCTTGGGAGATTCTCCTTTCTTCTCACTGAAGACAGAGCAAGCCTGGGAGCACAGCATGGCCTAGAGGGGTGTGCCTGGTCTGTCTGCCTGGTGTAAGGCCAAACACATCTGATGTGTAGACAGGGGAAATTTGAAGCGTTTTCTGGATTGAGAAATGTAGATTTAGGCACCCCCTTCCAACCTCTCACCAGAAGAAGGAAATGGAGTTAGGAAGTCACCTGTTCTGATTCCAGCCTGCCAAACCTTGCTCTCAGCAACTCTCCTTCGAATGTTTTCATCACCGTTGCTTTCCCAGCTTTTGATACAGCTGTTGTTGAGGTTCAACAATCACTGCATGTTTCCTCCACTTCAGGAAAGCTTCTTGTGGACAAGACCACCATTGCACATAAACTGTAATATCTGCATGTCTTCGGTGCAGCATGATGACTAACCCTGGAGCATACTGCACAGATGCAGCAATTTCCCTTCTTCCTACTTGGGCAGGATTGGTGGCTTTCATAAAAAGAATCTGTCAATGTATTGCATTGAAGGGTCATGTGCTCAGGCAAACCTCTTTCTGTCCATTTTACTTTGTATTCTGTTGAAAATATTTTGTCTGCTTCTAATTCAGAACATGTATAAGTGGATATTATGTGGAGTAACCTGAAAGGAAAAGCATCCATTTAATATTTTATTTTAAAATGTGTCAATTTTTCTGGTGTTGCAGGATCTGTTTCTGCTGAGTCTTGAAGAAGCATGCCATGACCTGGTTTTTCTTTGCTTGTCCATGACATTCCAGGGTTTCATCTAGGAAATGTGTTACATTTCTTTAAGAATATATTTTAAAAAGACGTTTCAGCCTCCATTTAAAAAAAGGCTGAAACATCAAAATGAAATAACATAATTCAAAACATAACTAAAATATTTGTTCTGAAATGTTCCTTTGACATGAAAAGAGTTTGTTAATTTTCTCATGGGGAACACATTAATTCTTCATTGGAATTAGCATATGCCCTCAAAAAAACCCTCTCAATTTAAACTGAACTGAGATGTTTACTATAGAAACTTTCTGCTAAAAAAAGAAGTGTTGGATCAGCTTTATTCATATGTAAAAACTTTAAATAATTGGTCTAATTTTTGGAGTTGATGAGCATTCATAGATTGCTTTGAAGTTAATAGTAATTCAGAGGTGTTCTGCATTTTTGCAAACCAAGCCACTTGTTTTGGTTTCAAAGTACTGTTATTTGTGACAAAGTTTAAGCATTTGCATCTGAAAACCCCCCACCATAAAATGAATATATGTGCTTCTTTTTCTTGCTGTTTTACAAAATGCGTGAAGTAGGAAAGCAGGAGGAGCAAACCTCTTTGTGGTTCAGCCGCTGCTAAGACCAGAATTTCCTCTTCTCCTGTGTGTGTCTGCAATAGTGGTGAGCAGAATGATGCAGAGCAATCACCTCAAACAAAAGAATTTCTTCTACAGAGTCCAGAGATTGTTCAGAATAAGTTTTCTGAGCCCTCAGCTCCAAAGGCAAGAGTGAAATAAGCTTACTCCTATACACAGTTCTACCCACAAGTTTTTGAGTCTTTTCTTGGTTTCATATAAAATTTGTGGAAATCCGTAACATACTTGGTTTAAACTACAGATGGGCTGAAACTCAGAACTTAAGTTTCATTTTTTTGTTCTTTGATTTTGATCTAGATTGATCCTAAACCCACTGTTTAACTGGCCTCAGGCTATTAGCATTTTAAGAGCTGTTCCTTTCTGTCTTTCTTCAAAGTATTTCATTCAAACTGATCCAAACTAGTTGTGGTTCTAAGACTAGATATTAAACAAAAAATAAAATTTGCAAGAAATACACTTTTGAGATAACCAAAGACAATTGTATTTTGGTATTTGGGGTATTTTGGAGGAAGAAATGCAAGGTACAGAGCAGTAGTATCTGATGAACAGTATAAAGATGTATATATGTATATTTCTTTAGGACTATGCCAAGCAGGTTTAAAAAAGGTAAGTATAATAGAAACCAAATGTTGCTTCTTGAATCAAAGAGAACATTTTGTTTAACAAAATGATTTTATTTTCATTTTTCCTTAAATCAGTTACAGCTGTGAAGGGGTGAGGAAGTAGCAGCAGGGGACTCACAGCGTGTGGAGATGGGAGGTGGCAACAGCAGGAATCCAAGGACAGTTGGAACAGCATCATGAGTGCCGACAGCAGACAGACAGAGGGATTGATATCCAGAGGAATCAAGGCTGGATGGAAGTATCCAGCAGCATGACAAGTCATGCCCAGCATATGAGAGCAGAGTTTCAGGAAAAATGGGGATGGAGACTACGAGAGAGGAATGAAGCAAGAGAAAGTGCTGGATCAAGGCTGAGGGCTAAAAGGAGAAGGAAGGAACAGCGCTGAAGTCAGAAACCCCTTTCCCCTAAAAAGTCTTGAGAAAATGTTTCTTTAAATCTGTGACAGTTTAGGAATAGTACAATATTTATGAGTCATCCAACTATTTATAGTTCACCCATTTATGAACTACCCTAGCCACTGCCATATCATTAACATTACTTTGCTCTCTTCTTTTTTTTAAGAAAAGACAGTGAATGTCCTGCTGCTAAGCACCACATTGTTTTGTCTTCTGATATTCCTTGGAGGTTTGCTGATGTATGCATGTAGAAGGTAGTGTGCGTTTCTGGAAGGTTGTATAAATTTCTGGTGGAAGGGACATCAGGATGAGGGGAAACCATACAATGGATAAAAGTCAAACACAGATCTTCTCAGATAAATTATGTTTGCAAGAAGCAGTTAACTGTGCATTTCCTACTATTGTTCTAACAAAGGAGTGCCAGGCGTTATGACTTGGTGAGCCTTATAATTCTTATCTCGCAGCTCCCACTGCAGTCCCCTGCAGCTCCAGTCTCCCACCCTACTCTCAGATGTCTTTTTGCCACAATAAGTGACATATTTTAATTTTACTCTCACTGCTGCCTCTCTATCCTCAGTGTGACTTTACCCCATCCTTTGCAGGTTCTGCATTTAAGACCACCAATGTTAATCATGCCAAAGTTGAACGGCACTTGTCACGTTGCCCAATTTCATTTCATAATCTGTGGGTGTAATGAAAGCAGTTTTTTACTCTAAGCTGGACAGTTTACAAGAAATAAATAAAAAAAGGAAGTCAGGGTGACGGAAAGAATTTGCTTTGCTGTATGATTACTACTAGTACAGCAAAGTAATAGTAGTGGTCCTACACCCACCAACAGTTAAGGCAGCCAACTTTCTCCATGTCACTACTTTTCTGCCTGGCTGCATAACTTTCCTATTGACATGGCACTGAAGGCTTTCTTGAATTGAAAAATAAACTTGTTCAGGATAGGAAGATAACTCAAGATACCTTAATATATGGAAGGTAATGCAGTATGTAAATGGAACTCTTGTTAAAAGTAAATTGATTATTTAATTAATGATTAAATATTGTTCCTGATTCATATAAAAGAAGTTATCAATTTTTAATTATGAAGAGCACATATAGGGATGACTTTTTAAGCTACAGACGTAGTAGCATGCCACAAGTTCTCACTTTGCTTGGAAATCATATGTTTGTGTATATCCATCAGTTCTCTTGAAACTGGCAGGCTAAAAACCAGACAGGCTGAAGAAGAGCTAGGGAAAGTGTTGAGAAAAATGTCTGCAGTGAAACAAAAAAATGATGAAATGGCTTTAGAAGTGGTAGATGCCTGTCTAATTGGAATATATATTACAGAGTATTATCGACTGATCTGTTCCTGCAGACAACAATAGTCATGTGCCTGTATCACTGTCTTGTAGGTATAGTTGCCTGGAAGTTATAACTATGCCTGTTCCACATCCTTCAGATAATATCAAAACTTGGCTAACAGATGAGACTCATCACCAGGTAATGTGTCTGTCTTTTTTATCTCACTACATCAACACTCATGATATTACTTGCCATTGGAATGGTACATTACATTTGGAGCAGCATGTAATTTTTAAGAAAGACTGGGAAAAAGCGTGCAGAATATTTGTAGTTAAGTCAGAAGAGAACAGAAAACTTGTGGAGATTATAGGACAATTATCTCAGCAGACAGAATGGAGAAAACCCTCAGGGGACTTTAATGCCTGGTGCATCTAAAGGTGCTTTCACACTCAATGGACCAACATTTTACAGAATCACAGAATACGCTGAGTTGGAAGGAGTGATCACCCTGACTCCCTGAAAATAGTCAGTTATGGGATATTAGTTGTCTAAGCGTGTAGGCCTGTTATCAAAGGGAATTTTTCTGTGGAGATCTGCAAGTCATTGGCTATGTTGTAATAATTGTGCATATTCTTATTGCAAATAAGAGGAGGGTCCATAATGAGTGCAATATAACCTACCCCAATTGTGCACCTGCTGCGCGACAAAGACGTACAGAGGTGTGTACTTTGGAAGAGCTGATGTGCTGTAAGTTCAGATGTTTGCTTATCTGATGGCAAAGTATAAGTCAACTGGGCAAAATGGAAACAAAATATTTGCAATATTTTTTGTGACTATCATTAATGGAGCTCCTTGGCTCTCACAATTCAATGTTTCTTATTGCTGTCTGTCACTGTGTGAATTACAGGAAAAAAATATGTCAGTCAGGTAGTAGTTTAGATCCCTGGAACTCCCTAGAAGCTACACAGTGAACTGTGCTCTAGGAGGCATGGTAAGATGGCCTCTTACCTCATTCTCCTGCAACACATGATGAGAAGGCACAGGTGTGCTGAAACTATGTTTTTTGGGGGGAAAACATCATTGAAATAGGAAACTGCCATGAGGATCTTCTCTGCTCTATATGCTCAAAATATTTTTTCAGAGCCTCTGCAGGATTTCTATTAATTTTACTGTATTCTACTGTATTACTGTACTTACACTGCAATATCAAAATATCTCCTAGTAGCCCATTCAGCAGTGTAACTTGAAATGGCCAATGTGAGATGTCATGCCACTTCTTCCCCAAGGGAAAAATGTATGCCATGTAATACTGTGGTTTGGTTTTTAGTATATCGACATGATTGCAAACTCTGACAGAAACCACAGATCATCTCAATCCACAAATCATAATTTGAATTGTGAGGCAAGAGGCATCTTTTTTTTTTAATTTTACTTTCTCAAAACGAATTTATTGGAAAAACAATGTATAATCATATGCTATATAATCATATTACAAATTACAAGATTGAAGTGTTTTGACTTGCACCTGAAGTTCATTCCTCAAGACTTGGGCTGGCTCCCAAAAGCAGATTGTGCTTGTCTTCTTCTCTGTAGTCATCTTCTCAGAAAAGCTCAAGAGCTACAGAACTAGCCTGAAGCCAAATCTTCTATTTCTCTTATTTTCAAGATTCAGAGTAATTACTGTGACACTTCTGGTCAAAATAATTTGACCCATTTGAACACAAATGTACCATATTTATCACGCTTCCTGTGCAAAAATCCTTCTCGTCATTTTACCAGTAATGATGTGCAAATTAGCTATAGCACCCATTTTGTCCAACACATATGGGCTGGTAGAATGTAAAAACAAAATCATCACCATCAAGCTTATATTCTTTATCTCCCTCAATGCTTGAACTTCATGCACTGCTATTAAGGGTATTAGTATTCAATATATAAATAAAAAACTACCACAATCAATGATCACCACAAAAACTATATTTAATATAGTTTAGACAAAGAAGTGATTTCTGTCCCCTAACTGTTACAAACACTGAATAAACCCTTGACAGGTAGACCTCAGTATAGCTGTGTCATTACTGTCTAGATGATTGCAACAAGTGACTGAGATGACACCGATCTTTGTGACTCAAGTGACTGTTGATGGCACTTCTAGGAAAGATAAATTAAATAAAACATATGGAACATATCAGTATCTCAAATATTGCTGACACCTGAGATAACAAAGGACACACGGAAAGTCTTAGGACAACTGTGGGGAATGGTGCTGAGATAATCTCTTTTATCCAACAAATAAATATAACCCCTGAAGGCTAGACTGTGACTTTGACATAAACCTTAGGTACATAGTAACATCATCCTGGAGGGTGTCAAGCAACAAAATTAGGGCTCAAAAAACTAAGTAAATTTACCTGTGAGCAAGTTGTAGATTGAGAGAGTAACTCATATGATCTCTGTATTCCAGTTGTGACAGGGTAAGTAACCTGTACTGCTTCCAGATACATCAAATAAGTAGTGTGCTTGTAACAATATTTAGAATTGGTGATACCACTGAATGCAAATGTTGTGCATTATGTAATTTTTATCCAACAGCAACATATGTCAATGCAAATGGAGATGCACTCAGAGGTTACTGTGGGAATACTAAAAGAGAATAGAGATGAGAACACTGAACAACAGAAATGTTTGAAGGACTCTGGATTAGAAGACCTATAGAGACGATACACCTTTTTTATCTGCATGCAAGAATACCTTTCTGTGAAGTGACTGATAACCTAATGGATCTAAGAACAACTGACACGGGAATTTGTCTGAGCCAATAATTTGAAGTGTTTTGTGCTCATGACATTGTGCAACTCTTAAAATGAGCTTTGAACCACAAACACAAAGCAGTATCTTGCAGTTTATCTCTAACAACAACTGATTTTCAGCTCAGTAAAATTACAGTATATCAGACAATATGATCTAATTTTGAGGTCCACTTGAGTTAAAATGAAATTAGAGTTACTGTTTCATAATGTTGCAGTAGCTTCCAAGTACTGTCTAAAATATCAATACTTTTGAAGACTGGCTGTTCATACAAATCTTTTCCTAGCTATTCAAGTTCTGATTGAAGTGGTCATGAGAAATGGTGGAAGCAGTAAATGTTTCTGGAAACAGCAGCAGAGTCTCACAAGTGTTCTCTAGAGTTCAAAAAATAATTCACTTTCTGGACCCCTGCATTGTTTAAGCAGATATCAACCAGAATGAAGAGATCTGTGTGAAGACATAGTCTTTTAATGTTGTGGAATTATTGCTTTGCACTTAGTAAAAGAAGAAAACTTTATAGGAGGTAAAGAAAACAAAGTTTTCTGCTGTATTGTAATTGTTCAAATAAGTTTAACTCAGAGAAGTTAAGGTTCAGAACTGACTAACTATTGCTATTTATTTTTCACTGTCCTCCTAATGAAATTTTTCCTACTGTTTCCATGAGGCAATGAGACGTGCCAGTTCATTTGCAGGTACACAACCAGGGCAGATTATTTTAACTCTTAGTTGGAACAGTGTTTATTTGACTAGAAGAGAAGGAATTGATTTTTCAAGGAAGACATTTTCATTTTATAGTTGGGAAATACAAATCAATGGTGACCATAATTTTCTGGAAGGTTTGGAAGATACCTAAAAATTACTTTCTTTCATTACTGGTAATATTTGTCCATTTCAGAATAATATTGGTTGAAGGAAATAATTGATTACCTTGAAATTAATTTTATATTATTGTAGAGAACAAAATAAAACTTTTGTTTGTGCTTTTCAAATATTCAGTTCATAAGATATACTTCCGTGCAGAGTCTTGATTCCCCTGAATGTGCTTTTTTTTTGGTAATAATTCTCTCTTATCACAATGGAGATGACTGCACTATTTCTCCTTTATTACTAAGAATGATTCGTGATATCTGAAAAACCCAAGCTAGAAATGTCTGAACAGCAAAAGAACTATCAATGACTTTGTTTGTTATAAGATCGTGTTCATGACCTCAGCAAAAACCAATCAGCTTTGGTAGGTGGTGTTGCATTTCCTCTAGCATTGCACTTTTACAGAAAGTAAGGGTATCCTTACCTATAAACATCAGTGCTCTTCCCTCCTTACCTGTCAATCTGATGCCCACACAAATCATCAAGGAGAAGGTGAATGGTAGTTATCAGGTACTGAATCAAGTTTTAGAAAGATAACTCCTTTTAATGTCTCCTTCTCTGTCTTGAGTGCAGATGGGAAAACCCTCAATCAACATACTCATTTTTCTCTTGGATGGTCAGACACTATCTCTGTGGGTAGATAATGAAATTTATCCAATTGGACATGGTTCAGACATATTTTCTCAAGAAGACAGGAAAAAATTATTGCTTTCAGATAAAAATCACTACAGGAGGTATTTAGAAAGCATCATGAACTTACAGATTCCTTTTTTGGTGAGGATATAGAATTAATAAAATAAAGCAACCAGAACGTAAGTGACCTAAGTGGGGTAGAGAAGTACCATGTATTGGCCACTCACATCTGGAACCCAGATTTTATAGAGTGAAATCAGGCCACAGTGAATATTATGTTGTTCCTTAAAATATATTTTATATACATATATTTTATATACATATATATAGTTTTGGCTTGCAGAGCTTGAAGCCCAAAAGCAGTACCAGAATTTAAAATAAGACAGAGAACATACAGACTAAAGTAACTTTATTATTTTGCCTGGAAATAGAAGAATTTTTTCAGAATAAAATTTTTAGATTTAAATTACTTTTCTTACAACAGGCCTTGGTTTCAATCAATACACAGAGTTTGCCCATATGCACATGGCAACCTGCAGAGACACATCACATAAAACAATGCTATAATGTCAGTTGTATTGAAAATTAATTCTAAAGTGCAAATTTGATAATACAAAACTCAGTATCTGGACCCTTCCAAGAAACACTTGACCGATGTATTTACAAAATGATATATGATATGATATAAAATAAAATCTTATTCTAAACTTGTCCACCAATAGCGTATCTATGTGCAATATACACATAAAGAAATATAATCTGAAAGCAAAACTATACTACACTCAGTGTGGCATTAAACTTTGTAGTATACACAAAATAATCAGAAAGTTTGCTAATGACACCACCAAGATAAGTGGTACAGTTGACATGCCTGAGGGACAGGATGTCATCTAGAAGGACCTGAACAAGCTTTAGGAACTGGCCCATGGGAATCTCACGAGGTTCAAAAAGGCCAAGTGCAAGGTGCTGCACCTGGGTCAGGACAAGCCCTGGTATCAATGCAGGCTGGGAGATGAACAGCTCAAGAGCAGCCCAGTTGAGAGGGACTTAGGGGTGCTGGTGGATGAGAGGCTGGACATTATCAGCAGCTCGAGGAAGGTGATTCTGACCCTCTATTCTGCTCTGGTGAGACCCCACTTGGAGTATTGTGTACACCTCTGGAGTCCTCAGCACAGGAAAGTCATGGACCTGTTGGACTGGACCCAGAGGAAGGCCACAAAAATGATCAGCGGTCTGAAACACCTCTCCTATGAAGTCAGGCAGAGAGAGTTTGAGTTGTTCAGCCTGGAGAAGAGAAGGCTTCAAGGGAGATTGCTCATCCTCTCCACTTTCAGCATTTCAGAGTACTCTGGAGTCAAAATCTTTTTCATTGTTTGGGTCAAAAACCCTGTAATATATCAAGGCTATAGGTTTTATGCTTTCAACTCCCAAGTCCCTACTTCTGTCAAGTATACAGAGACTTATGGCTAGGAGCCCTGTTTAGTGTTTGTGTTTCTTCCTGAACATCATTTACTATATAGATATCAGACAGATCTTGCTGAAGCTTCTGAAGAAATAATAGCCCCCTCTCTTTTAAAAGAGAATAATTGCAAGAGGATGATGGGAATCAGAAAAGCAACCCTCAGACTTGGGGCTCCATACGAAGGCTGGTCAGTTGCCCAATGCTGCCACCTGCCGTACAAATAACCTACTTTCAATAAGAAATATTACTCAAGTTCTCGAACTCGTTTAACTCGGGGCAAGTCTGCAGCTTTAACTGCACTGATATAATCAAAGAAGTCCACCTCCCTCTCTAACTTGAAGACCTGGCCTTTTTTAGGGAGAAGATACATCTCTCCTTGTTTTAGCTTCCTCAGGTTCGGGTGGCTAATCAAACAGAGCTACCCAGGGCCCTGGGATATTGAGAGATCTCCAGCAATCTCAACCTAGAATAGGTGTCCAAGACAGGATGGCAATCTCTTTCTCATTAGACACTAGATGGTGCAGATGTACATGTTATCTGCTGTCATTTGACTAACCAATGCTAACTGACTGGTACAAGTTGATCTACTCATATCTAAAGGAACCAGATGGCTCTTACAAAGTAACTTTAAAGATAAAGATGACATTGAGAGATAAAAAAGCTTTGGTGACTGATACAACACAGAGTTGCACTTAAAGTTATATTACTGCATCTTATCAGAATATACACATCAGCATATTTTTGGCAATCTCAGAAAAAATTCCAGATCACAGCTTTGAATACTAATTACATATAAAACCTGTCACCATGTTCTGGTCCTCCTGAAACCTTGCAGGTGATCAACTCCCTACCCTTTGGACAAATAGTTAGAGAATATGATTTTGGTATTTAAATCAGGAAAAAATTTTTAGTGACACTGAACCAGCAATTGACACCTTTGAGTCAAAACTACCATAGCTTTACTCTTAATATCCTCTAATTTTGTAAAAGCTTCTAAAGAAACCACAGTCATACGTATCTAGCTGCAGTGATTTCAAAACATATAAGCTTTAAAAAATACAAGTACAATAGATAGGCAAAGCAAGCCACTAACAAAGAAGAAAAGAACAGATGACAGTGGAGGTAAAGAACTAAAGCAATTAGTATTCTAGATCATGCAACAATATTATTATGTTTTCATTATCTCACAAAATTAGTCTGGATCCAGCAAGCTGTCATTTTGCATTCATAGACATGAAAAATAATTGTATTTTAAAGCTTGTTTTGGCTTCTGGCTGACATTTAGTTTTTTAACCAATGCAGAAAATGAGAAATGGGGTGATTTCGTAAATATTCTAGACCAAAACAGCTAACAGATACTCATTTAATCCTTGATTTTGTGCAATGGCTACTATGTGGGCAAAATTTTTCCATTTTTTTAACTAGAAAGCTGCTTGCTACAGGATGTTGAAAATGTACATGAGCTCAAAAGGAAACTGAACAACACCATGAAAATATATCTACAAAGACTTTTTAGATACAAAGTCAACTCTTCTGACTCATGTTGTTATCTGATCATTAATTGCAAGACACAGGGAGAATATTTTTGTCCTCTTGTTTTCTCCCTGGGCTTCTGCCATTGGCACTGTTTGAGAGAAAATAGACCAAATAAGTCAGAGATATTTTTAGAGCAGTTGGAGGAATTGTTGAGGCATTGTATGTATTTCCTGACTGAGGGATTAATGAGCTAATGTTGAAACCAAGTGTGTGACCTCTGTCTTCAGGAGAATAGCAAGATGTGCTGCTCACTTAACACCTAAACCCAAAAAATCAGAACTGTGTGGCTTCATAAGGTCACCCAGTTCATCTTCACTGATGAACTTCATCTTCTAAGCAAACTTTATTTGCCTAGACTTTCAGTGATAGTTTGGCAAGGGATTTTATCCACTTACATAATTTCAGCAGCATCTTGATTCACAGGGTGTTTTTTATAGCACAAAATGATTTATTTAGAACACACTGGATGAGAAAGTTTTATCCCTGATCCCTTCTGGACA